GAAATCCTCCGAGATAACTACTGTAGTGATTTAGGGCTGTACAAAAAAGGAATCGAATTGAACTGAATTGAAAATGCTGATGGTGGCATTTCCCCAGTGTGTGATGGCCAGAGTCCTGCTGCAGTGGATTTACGCTGTGATAACACCGTGGAGGGTCACAGCCACTGGCCCTGGCTCTGTCCCCAACTGTGGCTGAACTCAGCGTGTGACCGGATGGATCGGGCCTTTGTCCCGGTGGTCGGACGGGAGCATGGAGCTGTATGGGAATGAAGAGGGGAAGTGAGGGTTTGGGGATTGCATTATGTAGCTTCCACCTCAGCGGCTGTGGGAGTGTTATTGTAGCTACTGTGTGGGTCCAAACCACAGGCCGAGAGACGACCGAGAAAGACCGAGAAGACCGGGATCCAACAAGCATTTCAAATCAATGCATAAATCACATTCGCAGTCGTCTCGGAGGGCTTTACAAAATTGCAGATTCATGTGTGTAATTGTGTATGCTTGTATATTATACGGCCGCCTGTGTACTCCAACACTGTAAACCCTAACTTCAATCGTACTTCAGATATCAAAGTTATTTTAAATAGATTTTTCCCAGTAAGTAGATATTACTCATTTATTGTTAGTTTATTTAAAGCTTGCCTACATCACTCAGGGTTTTCTTTGAATTTAACTGTTTCTGTTCAAGTAAGCCTCACTTTTGACATTTTGACGTGTAGACTCTTTAATGAGGCAGGTGTGACAATGGCAGGGTGTCCTGGTGGCTGAGTGGGTAGCACCATTACCTCTCAACTACAGGGTTCTGAGTTCGAATCCCAGTCGGATCATAAGTATAAATTTAAACTTTATTGCAATCACTTGAGTTACTTGGTAATATCAAGTAAAGGATGTACTCGAGGAATTCAAGTGAAGTTAATACGCAATTTCAGAATCAGAATCAGAATCATTTTTATTGCCACGTAAGTAACAGGAGGTCACAGACTTGGAAATTGCTTTGGCTCAGTGCAACAGTCAGAAAGAGATAATAAAAATAAGAATAAAAAACACTTCTAAAGAATAAATTTAAATTTAAAATAGAGTTACAGTTACTATTTACAATATACAAGTGCACATGGTGCACACAATGTAAGGTGACAGCAGTACAGTGAAGTAAAGTGACGTATGATGGGCAGTAAAGTGACTTTATTTCCATGGTTTTTTCAAGTAAACTTTACTTGTCAGGGTTTACAGTGAACAACATTATGTGCAACGTCATATAACTGCTAGTATAACATGACAGTTAACCCTAACCCATTATTTAAAGTCAGACAAAAACTGTTGTGGGTTGTGAGCACAGCTGTGATTGGTTCAGAGGACTCTTTCTCTGGTCTATATGGTCTCTCTCTGGTCTCTTTCTCTGGTCTCTTTCTCTGGTCTCTTTCTCTGGTCTCTTTCTCTGGTCTCTCACTCTGGTGTCTCGCTCTGGTCTCTCTCTGGTATCTCTCTCTAGTCTCTCTCTGGTCTCGCTCGCTCTAGTCTCTCATTCTAGTCTTCCTTTCTGGTCTCTGCCTGGTCTCTCTCCGGTCTCTCTCTCTCTGGTCTCTCTCCTAACAACACATCTGTCCCTAAACGCTATTATTCCTCTCATATTAGTAGTGAAACATTTACCAGTAAATAGGGGTGAAGACAGGAGAGTCCAGCGCCTGACTTGGCCTCAGTGGTACTTGGAGAGCAGCACATCCTGGATTAACATGTGGAAACTGTATCTCGCTCTTTCAAACTGAAGGATTACTTTTGTCCTAGTTGGCCTGAAGTGTCCCTCCTCTCTGCACCTCAGCAATCAGACTGCATAACGAACACCAGCTCTGAAGCAAAAGCCAAGAGCCACGGGCTGCACTTCCTGCCTCTGTGCTCCGTGTTTTGTTAGCTGCTTTTTCTTTCTAATTATACTCATAGTAGTAGTCTGTGTGTGTGTGTGTGTTAAGGGGATGGTTCACATTAGGCTGTGAGGGTCCTCTAATGCCACCGGGTCCTGGGGGAGAGCCACGGGGACAATGGGACCGGAGCAGGTACTTCAGGGTGCTCCAGACTGACCTTTTCTGTATTGTGCACAGAAAGAAACTGTACACCGTCATTCTAATTTTAATTATGACTTAATGGAGTGTGTGTGTGTGTCATTGTGTATGCAGACAAAAACTGTTGTGGGTACAGCTGTGATTAGTTCAGAAGACTCTCTCTCTCTCTCTGGTCTCTCTCTTTCTGGTCTCTCTCTGGTCTCGCTCTCACTGGTCTCTCTCTCTGGTCTATCTCTGTCTCTCTCTTAGGTCTCTCTTGGGTCTCTCTTGGGTCTCTCTCTGGTCTCGCTCTCACTGGTCTCTCTCTCTGGTCTATCTCTGTCTCTCTCTTAGGTCTCTCTTGGGTCTCTCTTGGGTCTCTCTCTGGTCTCTCTCTTAGGTCTCTCTGGTCTCTCCCGTTGCTTTCAGTCCTGCCCCTCAGTGTCCTCTGCATCTGTATTTTAACAGTGTACGCACAGCTTTTGACAGCTGCAGCAGCTCAGACCTACAAGCAACGGGTTTGATATCTCTGGTCTCTCTCACTTCATCAGTCGTGAGTTCAGGTGGTTAGAAAACTGTATAAAGTGTGTGTGAGGGTTTTACAGCCTTAAAACACACAACTACTACTTCACGGATTTTGCTTATTGCGGCTTATTTTTAGGAAATTTTTAGATAAACCAGAGACCACTGCACTCTTAAAACATTTTGCCTCTACAGTTCTCACATGCATGTCCTCAATGCCTCTCGTTCAGATTCAGATGCAGTTTATTTGCCATTTGCAGTAAAACCACAGTGGAATACATGCGCAAAAGTCCCCAGTGTGCACCAGACATGTACAGACACACATCAAGCTAAAACGTACAGGAAACACATTCTAAACTGCAGAAAGCCAATCAGCTCTCAGCCCAAAGCTTCAAATAGTGACTTACAGGGCTCTTTCTCACAAGTGTGCAGACAATTACAGGTTTTCACATCAGTTACATTCAAGACTCTTTCTGTTTTTTTTTGTTTTTTTTTTAATATGAAACCAACAAAATAGCAGCTTTAAAACACTAGAATAGCTATGTCAAGTGCTGTCTTCTTTCTTGAACCAGATGGTACCAATCCGGCCACATCCTGGGATCAGAAAGCCAACTGCGCCTGTGATTGCCTGCATGTTTTCTGCGGTCTTTGACATGAGACAAGTGTGTGGTCCTCTGCGTCGCGTGTCTTCGGTCTTTATCACCCAACACCTGCTATCTCTCCGCACGATCCCAGGCCGGTTGGGACTCGCGGGTTCTTGTCTCGCTTCGGCGTTTCGTCACGCTCTCTCTCTCTCTACGTGTGTCTATCTTATTCAGTGTCTGCGGTAAAAAAAAAAAAAAAATACTGAAAAATAAGTGCTAGTCCTGACAGATTCCCATTTGGGTCGTTCTGCTCGGGTCGTGTTAGTGTTACAGTAAGGCGGTGTGAGTAAACACGAGTGCCCTGACCTGTCTCTACAATTCATAGCCGCGGGCCTCAGGGAAAGGAAAAGGGTTGCGCAAGGAAACAGCTGCAAATGTGCATTGGCAATCGACATGCGACAGTGCTATACGCTCTGTACGGCTGGAATGAATGATTGTTTGGATACATATAATGTAAGATTTTTTTTGTTTTCGATATTTTAATGGGACAGTAGAAAGAGCACATAGAATATACAATATAAGTAGCTGTTATGTTTCTTAGCTAGCTGTAAATGCTTCAGTAAAGCTCGGTGATATGGGATTATTGACACATGAAATCTCTTCTCACATGTTTAAGTCTATACCCTGCAAAAAATGATATAATATGAGGTAGTAATAATAATTTGAGGACATTCTGACCGCTGTAAAACAAGATTTGCCAACAGGACAAAGCTAAAATGTTTAATTCCAAGGGAGACATTTCTTGTATCTTTGATAAAACAAGATCATTTTGCTTTGTCTCATTGGCAAATCTTTTTTAAGACAGAATTTTAGACTTATTTTTAGACTTCTCTCTTCTGCTATCACCGTGTGTGGAGAGAATGGAACAATATCTGAACTCTGACCTTTGGGTGAACTTGGTCTGTAAAAATGCACTATATAAATAAAGTACTTGCTTACACACTTACATATTTTTTATAACTTTTTGCAGTGTAGCCGTGTTCCCACCAGCCTCACTCTACTCTACTCGGCTCTACTCGGCTCGACCCCATTTCCATTACGCTTTAGTATCTAGTACCGTATCCTAGCAACACAACAAACCAGTAGTTGTGGAAATTCTTGCAATGTAGCAACAAGTCAACAAATTCACTGTTGACTTGTTAAGGCCCTATCTTTACCATAACATTAGTTCACGTTAGCGCGTTTACCTTAAGTGTTAGCTTCCACGTCTAATTTGACAACAAACCTGGATGAAGTCAAAATAAGTCAAAATAAAAAGTCCATAAACTCTGCTCCATAAATAACAGCCTTAATCACAAAAAAAAAGTTCTGTGTAATTCCTTTTGTCTCTCTGCTGTTCACATAAACATAAGCAGCTGATAGAGCCGATGTCTTTATGTGCCCAAAAAGATACTCTACCACAAAAAACATACACACCTTGGACACATCGCTATACAAGGTATACGCAAGGTTTAAAGAACTCCAAAAAAGTAGCAGCTTATAGTCCAGCAATTTCAGTAACTAGACGACACAATGAGAGTATCAAAACCATCTATTTTAAACGGGGGAAAAAAAACGCCTCCCTCCATGTGAAGACAGATGTGCTATTGAAAGGCCACAGACACAGGTATAATTCTATCCTGTAACTTAATCCTGATTTGCTGACACTGTTTGGCTGCTCTGTAACACTAGCCAAAGCTAAACTTGTGCAGCAGCCGTCAAACACACACATGCACGCCCTCACACACCCACACACACACACACACACACACACCCTGCACTCAGCATATGCAGGGCTGATGCTGCAGAGTGAACAGGCTTTTTCCTATACATCCACCGGCCATATGGTGGCCAGGGGCTGCTCTGTGGTAATTGATGGTATCTGTCGGCCTGTCCGCTGAGAGGGGCCTCGGAGCCTGGAGCCAACCTAAAGCATACAGCGGTCCAGCACAGGCCATGGGTTAGTGAGGAGGGGGAGATGCTAGTGTTTCAGCCCTCCTCCTCTATTCATCCATTCATGTACACAAAGAGTTAACTCCCCCAGCTCCCACACTGCTCCGCACCATTGTGCCTGGCCTCGCTGATAAAGGGCCTTCTCTCACTTCTGGCTCTGGTGCTTGGCTAGGCCCCCAGTCTGAGGGTTTGGGTGAGGAGCTTCCAACCCCCCTGGTCTGGTCTGCCTGGTTCTTCTACGCGCTGCATGGGTCTCATCCCAATACTGCTGCTGCTACTGCTGCCACACGGGACAGATGGCACCAGAGAGGGACCATGGCACTCAAATCTGCATTGGCATCACTCCCAATCAGCCTATATTTTCTGTTCGACGTTGATGCACTTGTAAAAGTTGCCTCGACGTTAGCCATCACTCACCGGGAATTGAAAAGAACTTGTACTGGAGCGTTGGACTAACAAAGTAGCATACTGTGAGAAAAATTGGAAAGCAATGTCTTCTCCACTACGCTTTAGTATCTGGTACAATAGATACTAAAGCGTGGAAAACTCTGTTGGCTATAATCTGGCAACCTACCTACAACAAACCAGTATTCCTCGGTTAGCATGGTTCCCAGCAGCAAGGACAATCACTGAGAGTTAGAAGACTCAGCTCGGCCTGGATAGAACCTGGACCAAACCAGCACTAAAAAGAGCGTAGTAGAGCCGAGTCAAGCCGAGTCGGGCTGGTGGAAACAGGGCTTTTTGTGACAGTTTTTTGTGTGCTACTTGTGTGCTATTACTACTGTCCTGGTGGTGCGCTGCAACATTTACATTTCGCCACGGTAGGACAAATAAAGGATCTCTAATCTAATCTTAGGGTGGAGTAGAGAAGAGTAGAGTAGAGTAGAGTAGGGTCGGGTGGTAGTAGAGTAGAGTAGAGTAGAGTAGAGTAGAGTAGGGTAGAGTAGAGTAGGGTGGGGTGGTAGTAGAGTAGAGTAGAGTAGAATAGGGTGGGGTGGAGTAGAGTAGAGTAGTGTAGTGTAGGAACATGTAGGGCTGGTGGAAACAGGGCGTTTGAGAAGTTCTGCCATATTGCTGGTGTGATGCTGGTGTGATGCTGGTGTGACGCTGGTGTGACGCTGGTGTGACGCTGGTGTGATGCTGGTGTGACGCTGGTGTGACGCTGGTGTGATGCTGGTGTGACGCTGGTGTGACGCTGGTGTGTGATGCTGGTGTGATGCTGGTGTGATGCTGGTGTGATGCTGGTGTGACGCTGGTGTGATGCTGGTGTGATGCTGGTGTGATGCTGGTGTGATGCTGGTGTGATGCTGGTGTGACGCTGGTGTGATGCTGGTGTGATGCTGGTGTGATGCTGGTGTGATGCTGGTGTGATGCTGGTGTGACGCTGGTGTGATGCTGGTGTGATGCTGTTGGCTGGTGATGCTGGTGTGATGCTGGTGTGATGCTGGTGTGACGCTGGTGTGACGCTGGTGTGATGCTGGTGTGATGCTGGTGTGATGCTGGTGTGATGCTGGTGTGACGCTGGTGTGATGTGGTCCGTCACATTCGCAGACAGCGATCGATCAGACATTGTCAGACATTTGCAATCGCTGTCAGACTGTTGTATTGTTTGCGGTTTATGAATTCAGTCGGAGGTTGTGGTGTGTGTGCTCCGCTCTGGGGTGCCCGGCCCCAGTGCGCCGCCCTTTGTTGTCCTGGTGGAGCATGAGTCAGGCCTGTGGGAACTGGCCCAGCTTGGCCCCCCTCTCTCTCTCTCTCTCTCTCTCTGTCTCTCTCTCTCTCGCTCCCTCTCTCTTCCACGCTCTCACTCTGGTCCCATCAGGAGCTCCTCTGCTGCTCCCTGCCCTGGGTGTGGTGGACTGAGCACCACTGTGGAAAAACTCACACATCTATGTCGTGGCCACCGGGTCAGACGGAAAGGGAGTAGGAATATATGGAGCGTGTGTATGATTACTGCTGTGTGTTTGACTTATAGGACAGATATTGTATTACAACAGTACACGTTCTTTGCGATCCCTGGTGATTGATGGCTAACGTGTACTGTGTTACATTTACAAGTGCATTAAAAAGCCCTGTTTCCACCCGTTCAATTCAATGTACTTTTGTATAGTCCTAAATCACAACAGTAGTTATCGCAAAGGATTTTTAACAAATACTGTTGAATTCGCCAACATGTATCAGAGAATCACACAGTTCAAACACAAGAAAAGCAACAATAAATACACATCCCAGTCCTGTATCCACCAGCTGAGGCACGGCAACCCTCTGAGTGACTTCATAAACCACAAACACAGCAGTCTGACAGCGATTACTAATGTCTGACGATTACTAATGTCTGACGATTACTAATGTCTGACGATTACTAATGTCTGACGATTACTAATGTCTGACTATTACTAATGTCCGACGATTACTAATGTCTGATGATTACTAATGTCTGACGATTACTAATGTCTGACGATTACTAATGTCTGACGATTACTAATATCTGACGATTACTAATGTCTGACGATTACTAATTTCTGACGATTACTAATGTCTGATGATTACTAATGTCTGACGATTACTAATGTCTGACTATTACTAATGTCCGACGATTACTAATGTCTGATGATTACTAATGTCTGACGATTACTAATGTCTGACGATTACTAATGTCTGACGATTACTAATATCTGACGATTACTAATGTCTGTCGATTACTAATTTCTGACGATTACTAATGTCTGATGATTACTAATGTCTGATGATTACTAATGTCTGACAATTACTAATTTCTGACCAATCGCTGTCTATGAATGTGAAGGACCGCATCACACCAGCATCACGACAGTACTATTCAAAAGCCCTGTTTCCACCAGCCCTACATGGTCCTTCTCCACTCTACTCTTCTCAACTCTACTCCACTCTACTTCATCCTACTTTACTCCACCCTACTCTACTCTACTCTACTCTACTCTACTCTACTATACTCTACTCTACTCCACCCAACTCAAGTCTACCCTACTCTACTCTACCCTACTCCACCCAACTCAAGTCTACTCTACTCTACTCTACTCTACTACACTCTACTCTACTCCACCCAACTCAAGTCTACCCTACTCTACTCTACCCTACTCCACCCAACTCAAGTCTACTCTACTCTACTCTACTCTACAAAAATATAAGACAACAGAGTATTAGTTTTTATGTTTCTCTTGGCCCTTGTTCTATTCAGGCCGTGGTTACCAAGGAATTTTCTCAGATACTGGTTTGAAGTTGGTAGATTGCTAGGATAGAGTACCAGATACTACAGTCTAATGGAAATGCAAGTAGAGTACAGTAGAATATAATAGAGTAGAGAAGAGTACAGTAGAGTACAGTAGAGTAGGATGGAGTAGAGTAGAGCAGAGTAGAGTAGAGTACAGTAGAGTAGAGTACAGTAGAGTAGCGTAGAGTAGAGTAGAGCAGAGCAGAGTATAGTAGAGTGTAGTAAAGTAGAGGGATGGAGTAGAGTAGAGTAGCGTAGAGTAGAGTAGGAAGGAGTTGAGTAGAGCCGAGTAGAGTAGTGTAGAGTAGAGCCGAGTAGAGTAGAGTAGAGTAGAGTAGAGTAGAGTAGAGTAGAGTAGAGTAGAGTAGAGTAGAGTAGAGTAGAGTAGAGTAGAGTAGGGCTGGTGGAAACAGGGCTCAATAATCCTCATTTTGGTGCAGAGGAATGATCCCAGTCTTCCTCTGCGGTGACCAGGTCAAATACACGTGTCTCATTCAGACTTTGCGGGTGCCAGAACATTTGTCGGTGAACTTTCAGCCTCTTTGTGATGGACTTGAACTTCAAACACTGTCAGGGCGGGTCAGTCACGGAACACAGCCGGTCACATGACACCGAGTCTCCGACCATCAACAAACAACGGGAGGATAAAACGTCAGTCTAAAACACCAGATGACACATGGTACGGAGTCTGTTCAAACCAGGCAGCATGACTACACCATGTGCTATTACAACAACTATAAATAGAGCCAGCAGAAAAACCAGGAAGAGGCTTTCAGCGAGAGTTGAGAGCTGGGTCAGGGAGGACAAAAGGGAGAAGTCTCACGTTTGGCTGGAAGTCTCATCCACAATAGTCATCTTTGTGCCACTTTTTTTCCTCCCTTTCTTTGTTTGCAGAGTCATGCTTTGTAGGCATAACAGGCTAGTATTTTATTTATTTCGAGCAAGTAAGTGGGCATAGAAAAAAATAGTAATAAGCAACTATATAACAAAACAAAACCAAAATATATATATATACATATGCCCCAACTTTTGGCCTGTACTGTATACTGTCGTTTTTCTTTTGCTTAAATGTAGTTTGTAAAGATTATTTTACTCATATTCTTATTAGATAAACAAGTCTTGAGTTTTTAAGCCTGTTTTAAGTATTTTTTTCTTAATTAAGTCCAGACTTTTTTTGTTGTGAAGATAAAATAAGTTTGTTATGCAAAGTAATACATATCATTATTTAAGTCATTCAGGGCTAGAATTATTTTCTTATTTACAGAAATATTTTCTTGTTCTATTTGCAGATAATTTTTATTCTTTTAATCAGTATTTTACTAATTTTCATATATCTGTTTCTTTTTTTTTCTAGGGATTTTTTTGTTTTTGTTTTGTGCTTTATGAATTTTATTTTTCTTGCTTTTTTCTACCTGAGATGTTGCTGCAGTACAGTGTTCATGGTTTTATACTGGTCCAGACCAGAGCAGAGAGGATTCATGGTCCGTACCAAGTGGATCAGGCGAAAATCCACTGTTGGAATGCTAACTTTTTGAATAATGCTAATGAAGCATTTAGCATTTTACTTTAGACTAGAGCAGAGAAAATGGTCCGAAACAACCCGTCTTGCTCCACCCAGAGGCTACTCCACCTCTGCTGCTGTGACCCGTCCTGCTCCTGTGACCCGTCCTGCTCCACCCAAAGGCTACTCCACCTCTGCTGCTGTGACCCTCCCTGCTCCACCCAGGGGCTACTCCACCCAGAGGCTACTCCACCTCTGCTGCTGTGACCCGCCCTGCTCCACCCAGAGGCTACTCCACCTCTGCTGCTGTGACCCGTCTTGCTCCACCCAGAGGCTACTCCACCTCTGCTGCTGTGACCCGTCCTGCTCCACCCAAAGGCTACTCCACCTCTGCTGCTGTGACCCGCCCTGCTCCACCCAGGGGCTACTCCACCCAAAGGCTACTCCACCTCTGCTGCTGTGACCTGAAGGGCTGTTGCTGATTACTACTATTGTTATCTTTTTTTGAATGAGCCATTTGTTTTTTTTATTTTTCCTGCTACTGGACACTTGAATTTCTCAGACGGGGATCAATAAAGTATCTATCTATCTACAAGTGCACACAACAAATATGCTGTGGTTAATAATGACTGTACTCAATATCAGCCTTGATCACACCAATATATCACTGCATTTTTCCCAGGACGGCTTAAAGGAGTAGCTCTCTGCATTTATCGTCTCAGGAAAGTAGCTCTCTGGGTGAAACAGGTTGGAGACACCTGCTATAAATAAATACATATGGTATCGTATATATTGCTTCTAGTCACTATGTCTGTGTAATCCCCTCTACCTGCCACTCTAACGTATACTCTGTTATTCTAGGGCCATCACATGACACTATTTGATTTGTTCTGGTAATAAATGGGATTGTTTACAGACACCAGGAGGGAGACCCCACACAGCCCTTGAACAATAGCAGCACATTTACGGCCTGAAAGCAGTAAAAGTGGTTTGTTTTTGGGTCCTGTGCTTGCTCAGCCTGCTGGAGGAACACATGTGGAGCAGAATGAGGGAGCACTGTACACAAAGCCTCCCCCGTCCGCAGGTTCCTTTGTGGGGCTCGTATCTGACGCTGCACAAACAGAGATGGCTGTGGAGAATGAGTGATGCTTGAATGGCTTCTCTTATCAGCAGCGTGCAGACCGGAGTCCTGCCGATGACAGCCTGGCCCCGCACCAACCTGCGCACAATACTACCCACAGTGCACCTGTCCCCGCGGCCGGACGCCCCACCGGACCTTTTTTAAAAACCACAATTTGACGGGGTTTTGGTTTTGGAAGTTGAATTAATCTATTTGTGACTTTTTCTGTATCTGTGTGTAGTTGATTTTGGCCCAGGACTGGTTCAAAGAAATCACAGAGAGGGTTAGTTACCATAGCAACACAATGTTTACTTGTAGCCGATAGCTAACACTCTACCAGACCTTTTTTAAAACTACAATTTGACCGCTTTTGGAAGTTTTGGAAGACTAATTAATCCATTTATGTTTGTTGTTGCTCTTTCTCTGTATGTTGTTAAGTTTATGAAATAATCTCAATCCTAGACTGGCCCAGGACTGGTTCAAAGAACGAAAAGTCTAGTTACCATAGCAACACAATGTTTACTCGTAGCAGATAGCTTTTAGTTTAGTTAGCTGTATTTCATGTCCTGTCTTGAAAATTTCCCTGCACTTCCTCATCTCTCTCTCTCTACTGTTCACATAAACACACTGAGGCAGCAATGTGTGAAACGTCATCAGCTCTGAAGATCGACAGCTGAGAGAGGAAGGATTTTGGACACAAGGGGCAAATAACTAGAAGAAAGAAGAAGCTTAAAGTCTGGCAATTACAACCTGTGCACAATACTACCCACAGTGCACCCCACCAGACCTTTTTTTTTTAAAACTACAATTTGACGGCTTTTCGTTTTGGCAGTGTAATTACTCCGTTGAAGTACGTTTTTGGTCTGTGAAACTTAGTGACTTAGTGATTATGAAATTATCTCAATCCTTGACTTGCTCAGGACTGGTTCAGAGAAGTCTCGGCTTTGGAGCAAGTGCTGGTTACCATAGCAACGCACTGCAGCAGTTAGCATTTAGCTTAGCTGCATTTCATGTGTATATAACCAGTATTGCTGTTTATTAATTAAAAACTGTATGCACTACTTAATAAAATTGCTTAATAAAAGTAGTATAATCATTTTTACAGGATGATAACTTTACCATCTGAGTGGAGGTAACATACTTTGTCGCAGAGTGGTTAGCCCCATCGATGCGTTCAAACCAGTGGGGGCGGGTCCGGGCTGGGCTCCCTATGCGTTTTATTTTATATAATTTTATAATTGCATTTCCTGTGTTCAAACTGTTATTTCTCTGATCTGTTGGTGCCAAAACCACAACTTTGTAAAGTCCTCCAAGACCGACCGCTGCTGTGATTTAAAAGCTACACACAAATACACACAATTGAATATCACATTTTAGATTTCCCACAGTTTATGTTTTAGACTCGGTGAGATTTAGCGCCCCTGACCCGGTCTCCAAACGTCGCCAGCGTCTTTTGTGGCGCCTGTATTTGCCTCATCTGCCCCCGGAGCAGAGCTGTTTGCACTGAGAGGATGGAGGGAGCGATAAAGAGCCTCAATGGAGAGGTTTCATTTGTACAAGGTCTCCGGCAGCATTCAGGCCTGTACGCGCTGACAAATGGAGGTGACGGAGGGGGCGTGGCCTGGCTGGGGGAGCGCCATCAACCGCCCGGAGGCAGGAGAAGAGTCTACGGCAGCGGTCTCAAACATGTGGAAAAGGTATTGCGTGGCCCCCTAGTGGACATCCAACTTATATCTCAATATAAGCAAGCATGTCCAAATCGAGGCCCAAGAGCCAATTGCGGACCACTGTGTCATTCGATGTGGCCCTCTGCCTTGCTAACACAAAATAGCAGTGAGATTATAAACACAAGTTCATAGTGTTATCCAGCCAGCTTCTGCTTCTCCAATACAGGCGGGTTAGCTTAAAAAACCCAATCCAACTAGCTGAAGTCTCTACTTAGTCTTGCCCTGGTCTCTCTATGGTCTCTCCTAGGGTCTCTGTGGTCACTCTGTGGTCTCTCCCTGGTCTTTTCCTGGTCTCACTCTGGCCTCTCCCTGGTCTCTCTCTCTCTCTGGTCTCTTCCTGGTCTCTCTCTCTGGTCTCTCCTGGTCTCTCTCTCTGGTTTCTCTCTCTAGTCTCTCTCTGCTCCCTCTCTCTCTCTGTTCTCTCTATCTCTCTGGTCTCTCCTGGTCTCTCTCTCTGGTCTCTTCTTGGTTTCTCTCTGGTCTCTCCCTCTAGTCTCTCTCTGGTCTCCCTCTCTGCTCTCTCCTGGTCTCTCTCTCTGCTCTCTCCTGGTCTCTCTCTCTAGTCTCTCTCCTGGTCTCTCTCTTGTCCCTCAAACATTCACTTTCTCTATGGCTGAGGTTAAATACTGAGAAGATGTGCAGTGTGAATTACAGCTGTACATCACATTCACCCAGGAGCTAAGGGTTAGGGTTAGGGTTAGGGTTGGGTTAGGGTTAGGGTTAGGGTGTGTGCAAGTTAGCGGTTAGCGGTCTGATGCTCAAACACGTGATGAACATACCCCTTTCATACTGCCCGGCTTCACCCAGACTCGACCTTGTGCGGGCCCCAGGATAGATTGAGTTTGAGACCCCCTGCTCTACGGAGATGAACAAGTGAACTGCAGGGAGAGCAATTTGTTCAGCTGTCGTGTGTGTCAAGCCAAAATCTAGGTTGCCATTTGCTTTTGAAGGAGTATTGACCCTGGAGAGGCAACTTGAACCTCCTCATTGGGAGAGAGGTGACGGGAAAGACAAACAGCTCGGAGAGGAGAGAGCGCGGCCACGGCCTCAGGCACTTGTCAAAGCTTTGGCTAATGGAAAAAGTCATAATCCCATTCCATGTTCGAAAATCCCCCCTCTCTCTCTCTCTCTCTCTCTCTCTCTGACTTTACACCGAGAGAGACAAGAGCTGGAGTGTGATGGAGACTTGCTGGCCTGTGTCAACAAAAGGACTACACAAATGACTACACAACCTGTCAGCAGAGCACAGAGGACTCAAATGCAAGCGATTCAAGGCTACGCTGATGAAAAATGAGTCAAAAATTGCTCAAATTTGGCAAACATGTGGGTAAATCCCATACCAACCTAGCCTGGTCGTACCACACCTTAGAACAAATGACATTTCGTACTAAGGTCTGGAGGTGCTCCATTGAGCTCCGTGAACAGGTGGGAGGGGTTAACTCCTTTTGCAGATTGAAACGATTGGATCTGAGTTTACCGTGACGTATGTAATGAGCCCGAGTCTGTCGTTAGCATTTAGCCTAGCCATCTCCTTTGCCGCTAACGGAGCCCATCGGGAGTAGCGCCACAATTTTTTCCACCGATTACATTTGCTAAACATTCCTCTTGCTCCGGCTTCAATTTCTTGATAGAACCAGACCGGATTACTTTACTATCGCATTTTTTGCTATTGCCAAACTACAACCTGCCCATTCGGCGCAAACTCTTTACATCACCCACAACTAACGACAACACCCGCCTCCCGCGCTTGCTGAGTAGCCGGTCGAAACACGACCGATTGTAATCGCTAACACAGGGACCAGACCCAGACGTTACATGCAGTGAAATGATTATTGAGCGGAGTGTACGGATGGATAAGGCCAGACTAGAACCAACCAGCTGAAGGCTCTACTTAGTCTATCCCTTGTTTCTCTCTCTCTCTCTCTATTTTTCTCTCTCTCTGGTCTCTCTCTGGTCTCTCTCGTCTGTCTGGTCTCTCTCGTCTCTCTGGTCTCTCTGGTCTCTCTCTGGTCTCTCTCTGGTCTCTCTCTCTGGTCTCTCTGGTCTCTCTCTGGTCTCTCTGGTCTCTCTCTCTGGTCTCTCTCGTCTCTCTGGTCTCTCTGGTCTCTCTGGTCTCTCTCTGGTCTCTCTGGTCTCTCTCTCTGGTCTCTCTCGTCTCTCTTATGGTCTCTCTCTGGTCTCTCTCTCTGGTCTCTCTCTCTGGTCTCTCTCTGGTCTCTCTGGTCTCTCTGGTCTCTCTCTCTGGTCTCTCTCTGGTCTCTCTGGTCTCTCTCTCTGGTCTCTCTAGTCTCTCTCTCTGGTCTCTCTCTGGTCTCTCTGGTCTCTCTGGTCTCTCTCTCTCTTCAGAAGAAAGACGGCATGCCACTCTTCTTACAGTCCTCATCACAGAATGTTTATGAGAAGTGGAGGAGACGCAGATTTCAATTACATCAGAATTTGAATGTCTTTTTATTGCCATGTAAGTAACAGGAAATCCCAGACAAGGAAACTGCTTTGGCTCTCGGTGCAAACACGTCAAAAGTAGAGAATAGAATAAGGCATAATAAAACACAATATAGTAAAAAAAGATAATAATAGTAATGCATCAAATTTATACAGCGCTTTTCTAGACACTTCACATGTCCTTATTCATTCACTCCTTACACAGTGGTGAAAAACTGCTACTATGGCCACAGCTGCCCTGGGGCACACTGACAGAAGCGAGGCAACCAGTCTGTGCCATCCGCCCCTCCCACCACCATCAACAGTTTTGTCTTTCTGGTCTCTAACACTGCAAAAAATTTGGTAATAATTGTTTTTTTGAGGTTTTTTGTCTTCATTTGAGTCCATTTTGTTTGCCTTAAAACAAGATTTTCCAACGGGACAAAGCCGGTATTAATATTTCAAGAACTGTTGCTATATTTTCTCATTCCAAGGGAGACATTTATTGTATCTTTTTAACAAACAAGATCCTTCTGCTTTGTCCCATTGTCCAGTTGGGTTTTAAGGCAGTCCAAATGTGCTCAATTTAAGCTAAATTTTGCCAAATTTCAGCCATTTCTGACTTCTTTCCCGTCCTTTCTTTTGCAGCGAAGCCAACTCGACGCCCACAATAGCTCACATTAGCTCGTGCGACTCTGTGCTGTAGCTTGACTAAACGTATGCAGAGCTGAAAAGTCCACCCCAAAAAAAAGCCTTTCAGCCGCCGCGTACAGATATACAATATGTCCGGCCCTGCCCATACGAGGCGGCCATTTGCGTTGGCCGCACACACTCATGCACCGACCCGGCTTCTCGCATTGACATTCAAATGCGGCGGCGGCAGAGGGAGCACAATGGTCGGAGATTCGCTCGGAGCAATTAGCGGTGGACTCCCTCGGTGTCTTGCCCGGGACTTTTAGCCCCGTGGTTCCTTCATGCAGAGGCACTGACCCCTTTCAGCAGCGCACAGGAGGAGAA